TTTTGCCTGATCAGGACCTGACGCAACCTGACGGGAATATAAGTTCTGATCAGGTTGCATGGGAAAACCTATCAGGTCTGGTCAGGTTCTGGTCAGGTTGCATCAGGTTCCCCCCTCTACAACAATTTTCTTTTTCATGCATTACCTTTTCAAAGAGAGTGGGATGTGTTATTGATATGTGGATGAACTCGAAAAATCGAAACAATCAACCCTGGGGACAAATTAGAGGATCCGTTATGACGAACCCGGTGTGCCGAACACAGTACATAACTCTGTTGGTGTCCTTCCAACGTGAAACCAAATATTTGAACATTCATTTATTGAATAAACAGAAACTTTCCCTTCTGCCGTCTGTAGAAACTGAACATTCAATAATTAATTACCATCAGTAGAGCACTTGAAGAGGACCGGAAAGGACCTTCGAAAGAGGGTCCAAGCGTTTTGACCACGGCAAGGAAATTGTCTGATCAGCACTTATCAGGTTCATCAGGCTGGTCAGGCCGGTCAGCCCTTATAATGGTTTTTTGACCCTGATCAGCCGCAGAAAAACCTGATGGCCTGACGAAACCTGACATGGCCTGATATGCCCATATCATCCAAATTCGATTTTTCCGACATGATAGTCTCTCGTGATAGACTGACCACTTGTAACTTGAACCTCGTTCTTCCATTGTTGACAGAACGAACAGCAAGTCCGAGCGCTGCTGGTCTTGCCTTGTCTTTGACGGCCGAGCCTATCTGGCTTTCGTCCTCTCCCGAGTGCAGGATGGCGGGCAACCTTTCGAATGTAAACTATATCTGTTAGCTGGCCGTTCTCGCAGGCTATGTTCTCGCGCGGCTGCACAAACTCCGCCTGTAAAAGCAACTCGTTTTTGTATGTTCCCCAGCTAAATGATGTGTGTGATACGTTTTTCTTCTCTGTTTTGCGGCTAACTAGGTTCATCCCCTTTCCTACATGTACAGGTTGTCAGGTTTCTGCACCTTCCATTCTGTCCCTTAAGGAGCAGATCCCCCGCTCCCCCTTCCCTTGAAGTCTCAAGACCCGATACACTCTCCTCCTCCTCGTACTTGAGTGTCGCATAACACAGACACAGTTAAATTATAATTCAAATCCTCTGTTACAAATTGTGTGGGTTGTGACACTGTTCAACCCCTTCATGACCATTTTACCTTCCACAGTTCTCCGACCAAGTCATAATCTTCTCAGTCAGAGAACATCCAACCTCGATTAGCGCCTAGTTCTGTCGCAGAGGTGGCGGTCCCTGGAAAACCTTCGAACAGGCCTTGCTCAAACGTCCGTATATTCACTTTGACCCGCTATGCCATGTTCTGGCCAGAAATTCCGCCAGATTAGGAGATTCTCTTGACACTGTCAGCCCTTTTTGTTATTTCGCGTTGTCAAGTTGAGCGCACGGACCAGTTTCGTGAACAATGTTCCGCATGTGACCGTGCGTAATGAAACGTCAGAAATGGGGCTGTGTTGGGGCGCATCCTCTTTCCTCAGTTACCTTCATCTTCTTCGCTCCTCTCGTTTTTCATCGGCCTCTTTATTACTTTGTATTCAAAATGGACTCCTCTGCTGTCAACGCAAACGTTACCGTGGACGATTTTGACAGCGTTCTCTCGTACCCGGTCCAAGCGGCATGGGAGACCCCCGACCCGTCTAGCTCCACTTTCAACGCGAGTACCAGCCCATGGCTCATGGGTACCTACCACTCGACAAGTGTATCCAACGCCTCAGTGAGCTTCAACTTCACCGGTGCGTTTACCCCGTTTTCTCTTCTCTGGAAGTGGAGGTTTATAATTCGATGCTGCAGGCCCTGCAATATATGTATTCGGTGCCTCGGGCCCCACGTACGGCTCGTACGAGGTTTCAATTGACGGGCAGACCACGACGAAGAGCGCGTATGCGGCGAGCAACGCGTCTTCGCCGCATTTACTGTACGGCGCGGAAAACCTCACATACGCCGCGCACACTTTGACGCTGCGCAACCTGGGCAAGCAGGGCGCGGATGCTGGCGGCGATTCGTTTCTGTTCGACTTTCTCCGCACGACGGTGCAGTTGGCCCCGGCTGGGTATGTGTTTTTCCTTTCTGCCGTTGTCCACAGTATACTCATTTAGGGTGTTTGTAGAGCGACGGTGGCAAACCAGACGCTGGAGGAGACGGACAAGGCGCTGACGTATACCGGCAAATGGGGCTCGAATAAGTCGCCGAATTTCAGTGGGGGCGGGTCGACGTTCACGAGTGCGGACGGCGCGAGCGTCGCGCTGTCGTTCCACGGTCCGTGTCCTCAAATAACATCCAACTAAATAATATTTATTTCGCGCAGGGTCGGCGATCTACATCTTCGGCGACAAGAAGAACGACCACGGGCCGTACAGCGTCGTGCTTGACGGCGGTGCGGCGGGGTTCTTTAACGGCATCTCGGGGTGCGGCGGCGCGTTCGGGATGACGTGCGAGCAGATGAAGCCTACGCTCGCGTACTTTGCGTCCAACCTCGACGATGGGCTGCACAACCTCACCCTCACGAACATCGCCGGCGTGAACAGCTCGTTTTTCGGTGCGCCGCGTTTATATGCATTTCATTTTCTTGAACCCCCTTTTCCTCATTTTGTGTTTTTTTTTGTGGTTTCCACTCTGGGTTTCGCAACTGAACGAGATGCAGATCTCGACAGCGTCGTGCTGAGCGTGCCGTCCGTGTACGCGCCGCGCACCTTGTCCGATGGGGCGAGTTCCTCCGCGAATGGGTCCTCCAATGGGACCACCGGCGGCTCAAACTCAACCGGGGGTTCAAACAGCGGTGCTGGTGGGTCGAACGGCAGCATTGCCCTGGCGCCCCTGAACCCGCTGCTCTTCCTTGTCTTCGGGGTGCTATGGCTGCTGCGGCCCGCACGGGGATAGGTGGTGCAGAAGGCGTCTTGGTACCGATGTTAAAACTCCACAGCATAACGCAACATAGCATAGCATGAGGCTGTTATCATTTTATCTGACGGTAGTCACTACCTACCCCTGGACATTCATAATTGTAGCTTAATTTTGCGAGACTCGGAGCTCACAAAGAAGTCTCTCTGCGAAGGAGAAGTTGCAGAGGACAGAGATTGCATGGACCGGCGGCCGGTGGTTGAGTTCCAGGCTGAAATCCACTGCGAAGTTCAAGTTGATGGTACGTGACAGCTGTATGCCATTTTGGACAATCATACCCATCTCTCTTCTTACCATCATGCCAATTGCTGCACAACCACCCTCATTCAAAGCGATTCCGGTTATGTAGGTTCCATTTCTATCTATGCAGCCCTCCCATTGGCGACGCTGCTCAGCTCCACTTGACAGCGATCTCTCAAATATCTCGAGCACAGACCCCGCCGTGCGAGACGGGCTAGTCGCAGAGATCAAGCATGCGTGCATGGAAGTTGGGTTCTTCTACGGTAGGACGGGCGCAGTCTTTCTCCCCTCCTCAAACTACAGCTCAACTCTCGGTCAGTGAAAAACCACGGGATCCCTGAAGAGGTCATCCAGCGCACGCTCGCGCTGATGCGTCGGTTTTTCGACCTACCGCTCGAGGCCAAGTTGGAGGTGGCTTATTATTACTCGGATCCACAGGTGGTATGCATTAACGAATGACCTTACACAGGTGGAGAACACGAAGACGCCGAACTTCAAGGGATACAGCCCGGTGCTCTCGGGGAACAACGACCCGAACGGGGCGGGCGATCTCCAGGAAGGGTTTGAATTCGGGTTCGAGCCGCTGCGCGGTGCGATGGACGATGCGAACGGCTCAGCAAAGGACGACGTCATGGCAGGCGCGAACGTCTGGCCCGCAGAGCTGCCCGAATTCCGAGAAGCCGCGCTGGAATACTAGTGCGTCACCGCGCGGTTCCTCCGGAACAAACCCGTAATTCCTTATCAGCCATCGCGCACTTAACCTAGGGCGGCTGCTTTTTCCGTTATTTGCACTCGCGCTCGATCTGCCGGAAGATTTCTTTGTCGATAAGGTCTTAAATATGCTGCGATCCATCGAAATGGCGTGGGGTTAATGAGAGTGTTTCTAGACGAAGCACTCTGCGGCGCTTATGCGCCTCTTGCACTATCCACCGCAATTCGGGGAAGTGGATGATCGCGTCATTGGAATCGGCGCACATACCGAGTGGGTGTTGAGTCACTTTGTTCAGAATGCTGCTGATCTAGATGCATTCATCGCAAATGCAAAACATAGCTGGGAGGTAAGCAGGGTCGGGCTTCGGATACGCTTTCCCTCTTGCTGATGTTTTTCGCAGTGTTTCACAATCCTATGGCAACAGCCCGGCATCCAGGCCCTTCAGGTGCTCAACTCGTCCAAGGAGTGGATCGACGCACCTGCGACAGAGGGCACACTCGTGGTTAAGTAGGTGATGCCACTTCATCTTATTTTTCGATACTTATTGTCGAGTGGCAGTCTTGGGGATGAGCTCGCGCGATGGACTAGTGAGACGATTCTCTGACGCGTATCGCAAATTAACACTGTTACAGACGACGTTTTCACGTCCACGGTGCACCGCGCAATAAACCGCAGCGGCATCCGGCGGTACTCAATCCCGCTTTTCTTTGGCACAGACTACGACGTCCGGCTCGAGGTGTGTTGAATTTCGTCAATACATGTGATCTTTCTCAACACTTATCTTAACCGCGCCCAGCCGATCCCAAGCTGCGTTTCTGCAGAACATCCGGCGCGGTACGAAAGCATCACAGCGGGGGAGTACATCAAGGCTAGGTTGCAGGCGACGTATGGGCACTAGATTCTTTCTCTTCTTAAGGCAGTAAATGCAACCGCAAATGTCAAGTTTTTATTTATTTATGCATGCCTCTGACGGAAAGCAACTCATAATAGTGACGAGATGGATCGAATGGCCGGATGTAACGAACGCACGTTCATTCTTCTTTGGATCTTTTAAATTTGAGCGGGGCCAAAAAAGTAAACCATCTGCGGCCTCTGACAAAAAGGAATAGAAAGGGAAAAAATTGAGGTCGCGCCCGGGTTCGAACCGGGGTTAAGAGAAGTTTTGAATGCTTCAAAATCTCCCGTAATAACCACTATACTACGCAACCGATGCTACAGGGCGCTGGGCTCCCGTACTCGTAGTGTCAACACTGTCAAGCGGATTAGAAGTTGGAGACGCAAAGGTCCTGCTGATGAGTCCTTGAGCTTATTTGCAGAACTGGTATTGATTTGGATAGACTCATACCTGTCAATGAACTTGGCCATAGCCATCCGACAGTGATGGTCTTCTCCTTCTAATGGTAATACTACTAATTCAACCATACACCTTCGCCATTCACTTGTCGGGACATGTTCAACCCTTGGTACACAATGCAGAAAATGGGAACGACGGTACCACTCTGAGTGGCAACACCTGGAGCAAGCCATGGTGACAGCCTTCATTGAATTTTCACCCGAAAACGGAAAGCCTAATAGGAGGGGGACCGATTTCCGACAGATTTGTCCGGTAAGATATGTAGAAACTGGGACGTCTCGTACACCATCTTTCTCAGAAGAACTGGAATCAAGCCGCTACTTAACACTACTTAACAACGATGCAATAGAGTCAGACGAGCCAGAAGCCTTTTTTGCCCAAGTCGGACATTAGAAAACCTGTAAATATGGCCCGGAAACCAACGCATATAAATGACAAGGCTACATACCCGTACGATACCGTAATCACCGGACTTTGTACATCTGCACCACGGTCCCACCTGTGGTCTCGGTATCCGGCGCCTTCACCGAGTAATGGATCTCCACATCCAACTCGCGTGAATTGGTCTGGCTTTTCACGCAGTGGAAGTGCCCGGTCACGACGGAGCCTGCATCTCATCTCATCAGCATCCATCTTTTCAGAAGGAGCGCGATAACGTACCTTCTTCAACGACGATCGGTTCGCGCAGCAGGAAGAGCGTCTGTTTCCAATGCGTCGGGATACTCTGCGGGCCCGTGCTGAAGCTCGTTATTTTATCGGTTTCGGGCTGCTTGCTGACGCCAGAGCTGACGCGGCGCTGCGGCGCGGGGCGCCCGCCGACGGGCCACACCTCCGCGAGCACGACATCGTTCTCGCGGATCATCTTCACCTCGGTGCCCTCAGGCACAGGTCGCCCGTGCACGGTGAAGAACGTGTCGAAGTAGAGAATGAAAGAGTTGACTTTCGTCCGCCGCTCTACGGTCGAGACCAATTTGAACGACGAGACGAAGTCGAGCTGGCGCGCGGTGATGACGCCGAGTTGTAGGTCCTGCAATGGTATATGTGGCTGAAATTCAAGACATGGATGGGTATTGGTTACCTTGACTGCGTACGGTGCACTGAGGAGGGTATCTGGTCCGACGACATCAACAATAGCTTCGTCATATAGTTCCTTCGCCATCGTAGACAGATCGAAGCCTGTGGACGCATTGAAATTGAAAAATAAACAAGACGTGGCAGGTGAGCTAGCACACACCATACACATCGTTCCAAAAGTCCACGCGGTCCTTGGAGACCTCGCTGGCGTCGCATAACCCCAACATCATCTGGCATTGGCTCGGGGCCATCACGCCCTCGGGCTTGAGGAACCGGTCCCGCGCACGGAGCACAGAGTCAAGCATCGACTCGTACAGTAGTGCATAGCCCATCCACTCGGATATGATCACGTCGACGTGATGCACGCCGTCCGGTAGGGTGATGTCCTCGACCTTGCCCCGGATGACGGTGATGATATGGTCAAGTTCGTTCGCCTTGACGATTTTCTCCGCCTTTTCGGCGATGTCGCTCGCGTCAACGGCGAACACGCGCTTTGCGCCGGACCGGGCAGCAAAAAGCGACAGGATGCCCGTGCCACAGCCGACATCGAGCACGATTGCGTCGCGGAACAGCGCCGGGTTCGTCAGGATGAACTGTGCGTACGTCGAGGTGCGCACTTTGTCCTGGATCATGACGGCGTGGATGTCTGCAGAAAATTGTCAGGGACCCATATAAAAATAAAGATAAAAGCCTAACGCACCATTCGCCTCGTAGCTCTGAAAATAATGCGAATCGTCGTCGCGGGGCGCAGGGACAGCACCGCCGCTCGGTCCTGGTTCATTGACGGCCGCGAGCAGACTTGGGACGTCGAGCTGTTTGCTGACGAGGGCACGGTAGTCTGCAAGATCTTGTTTAGCTGCGGCCAAGTGCTTTTCAAGCGCGATAATTCGCTTTGCGGGATCCGCATCTTCCGCGTCCGAGTCAGACCAGTCGTCCGGTTGAACCTCTGTCGTGAGTTCAGCTGAGCGTGTGGAATGTACGGGTATTTTTTACGGAGTAATGGGTCATCCTCCAATGCAGGACGAAGATAATCGTCTGATGAGAATATTTCCTCGGTCCCAGTCAATGCTGCCACAGAAGCAGGGGTGGGATTCTGCAATCCAGATCGAATGAGAATACAGGGACGAATTTCGAAGGGAAATGCGCACAGTTTTCCGGATGAAATTGATGAGGCGAATCCGCGCATGGGTGTCAAGGGCTGGAGAAACCGTCAAAGGAAAAGTAGTTAGAAAATCTAGTCCACGCACACAATCGAGTACAGAACCCATTCAAATCGAATCCGTGAGTTTCTCTGTCGTACACCAGGGTTTCTTCCACTGATGGAAGAACCTTCTCCTCGAACAAAGACCGACAAGGCCTCTGCTCCATCGAATCTGAGACCCAATCGTCCCAGGTTTCTTCCTCTTCCTCGTTGTCGCCGGTGCTGGACGTCGATCCATCATCGCTGCTGTCGTCTTCCGGAATACTCGAATGCGGGGGTAAACGTACGCTCATGGTGCAGAAAGTTTGGGAGAGAAAGCAATCGATGGAAAATCCAGGCTTCTGCTTAGTCAGCGAAACGATCACGGGACATCACGCGCCCCAACGCGTTCCAGGATTTCGGTTTCCTGAGGCAAGCTTTGCGAAGTGGAGGTAAAACCTGCGGGTCATCGAAGGAATAACTCTATTTATAAGCACTACTTTTGAGATAGTCGGATCACAAATATCCACATCATCCAACACCGACCAGACTAGTCAGACTATCAGAAAGTCACAGATACGTTGAGAGGGTTTTCTGCCCGATGTTTAAACTAACGCATGATTACGCGTGTTTTAGATCCACAAGCCTGCTTCACATGGTCCTGTGCCTTCTCCCAGGTTTTCCACTCGTTTTTTTCTTCTTTTTTCGATGAATTGCCGCTTAAAAAGGAATAAAATGGTTACACCGGGATTTCGGTGGTTGGGGAGGCAGGATGCGCTTCCCAGTGAGTATATCTCTCGCCTTCTCCAGCGGAATCCACCGGTATCAAGGCGATGCATCTACTTAATTGGGACACAGATTAGATGGCCTGGCATGTAGGGTTGATGGATAGAGGATTGCTAGTTGGTAGCCCAAAAATCCGCCCTTGGGGGGTTTATGCCACAGAGATTTTATACTTTCCAAGCCTAAGATTGTTGACATGTTTTAATCTCTCCGAGTTGCGTCTGCTCTTGGCGCCGGTGCCTCCGCAGTGATATACTATTAGTAAGTTGATAATATCGCTATTGCTCGCGAGGCTCATGATCAGAAGATTGTCGAATACGGCTAAGAACGGCTGCCGGGTTGCGCGATTACTGCGCGGGTCCGCCATGAGTCCGTGATGTTCCGTATTTTTCGTCTCATGCGATCCTCATTTCCATACGGATAGGTTACGAGGTACTTCCTTCAAGTGGCAAGTGCGCCAAAGTCCTCACTTAAATTTGTCCGCAGGCTCACGCAATTAGAACTTGATTGTTCAAGTCCCCCCATTCGGACACTGAGCGTTTAAAAGTGTGTTGCCTCAGAAACTTGCCCTTTTCTTCTGACCTTTTCCCCTTCCTGTCAAACTGAGCAGATGTGGCATAGAAATCGCCAACAACCGATTAACGGTAACGCGGTGGTAGAACCGGAAATTCTCTGAAATTCCGGCCATCTATGCATGGACACAGTTCGGTGCCTGCGGTCCTCAAACACCGCGTGGTCCCAGTGTGACGGCCCAGGCTGTTTTGTTTGTCTTACAAAGCGAAGCTGTTGAGAGTGATTGGGGATCTCTCAATTCAAATTCATCAACATTACAAAACCGTCCGTCAAAATTGAACAGCTCATCCGGAACCACAATGTCGAGCCTCCATTCCTCGGTCTCACGCTCGAACTCGTCCTCCTCCGTGCACTCGATCGCAAACACAGTCACCTCCACCACCGCGCTCACCGCCGCGTACCGCCCACCACAGAAAGACTATGCGGCGGCATTCGCATCCCTCCAGTCGCAGTACGGCACCAGTGGCGACTTTCCCGGGCGTGTAGTCTCAGCAGGGCCGCCGAAGAAGAAACAAAAGACACCCGCGTCCAGCGCAGGACTTCGCAGTGTTCCCTCCTCTTCGACGCGTGGACAACCCATCTCGCCCATTGCCCTCCCGAGTGGCACAGCGCGCAGCCCACTCTCGCAACCCGCCCTCGTGTCACCGCCTGACCAAACATCGAAAGCCATGGAGTCGAGACTGCTGGCTAGTGGGCAAGGCATGGGAGAGCCAGGAGTCGACAAAAGAAAGTCTTCCAGCGTGTCGAAGCTGAAAAAGATATTCGGTGTCCGACCCAAAGGCGCGTGTATCCCATGTATCTTACGCCTCAGAGCTAACATGAGCTGCTTTTACAGGAAGCAACGACAAGTGACATTATATTCTGTCATCGTCCCTCGACCTTTGGGCCGCGCCACGCCACGTCTGTATCATCACTCACTACGCCCTCCTCCTACACACGACCTGCTGGAGGCATATATCACAACAATCCTCCACGCTTAATACTCGGATTTCACATCGCATGTAGCTCCAATTATTCATTTCTACTTCTTCCCTACACTGGCATACATCTGCATCTCTGTAAAAGCATCCTTGCACTCTCCGTGGAAATTGTGTATTATTTTTAGATTTGTTTCCGCTTCGGTGCCGCCTGCCAGAGAGCAAAAAAGCGTCCGGTCTGACTCTATGAGGATAGCCATCTTCGTCATTTGCGACGGGACCGAAGCCAACCTGACTTTGAGGCGCGTTCAAGGAAGCACACACTTG